TATGGCTGGGACTTTATATACCCGACTACCTTGTTAAAGTTGAAATCAAAGCTATATGCAAGTAATAATTTCGCGTTTGTTACCAGTGTCGGCTTTTATCCATCGCTGATGGATTGACGTTTCTTCAATTTCCTATTTGATTTTTTTCCGAAGTTGTCGTGTCTGAAATTGTAAAATCAGAACTCATGGCTGTTTTTTGAAACAAATTAGCTCCCGCTCTATCTACCCTTCAAAGATCAAGTAGAGTTTTTCCGTTAAGATGCAAGGTCTTGCGGACACTGGACGCTCAGTGCAACCTCCTTCGTTCTACTTTCACCTAACTATCTCAAACCAAACAAACTGTTAAATTAATGCAATTAGCCTTAAGCGCTTACATGAAAGCAATGTTGTGCTAAATTTGGAGCTAAAGCACATTCCGGCATTAAGCTTTGTCCCTCTTGAATTGGTTGAATTTGGAGTGGACCAGGTCTTCTGGGGACTAGAAAAAGTCGTAGACCGTTTTGACCTGGACAGTAAGGTTAGTGAAAAACAAGATGAGTTTACTTCCTATTTCTAGAGAAACTGTAGGAAAAAAACTATTCACGAGCCCTTATTTCCTTCAAAAATATGGAATTGTTCGAAGGAAGCAGCTTCTGGTTCGACCCCATTAATCAATACTGTAGAAGGATGGCATCATGGTGTAACTGCTCTACTTATGAGTAGCCAACGTTCCTTGCATACATTCCTCCACCATTTGCAACTCGACGCCTCCATTCAGAAGTTTAATATCCCCAAAGCCGTGGGAGGAAACAACACTTATAATTAAACAAATGATGAGAAAGATCACAAAATTGTAAACAGTTTCGATAAAGACTCAATGTAAATTATTTTAATTCTCAATTAGGCCATTCTTTCCAAAAAATGTAATCAATTTTTTAAACATCTTTGAAGTCCTCGGCATGGTTTTCTAGAAGGTTGAGTTTTTTAAGTGATAGAGACCAAAATCCAAAAATTTTTTCCTTGTTCCTCCAAATTCCAATTTTTTTCGAGTTTCAGATAAAACGTTTGATTTCGAGTTGATTGGATCATATGAATATTAAAGCAAATGCATTATCCACTAAGTTATTGAGACTTGGCTAAACTCAATTTTTGCTTATTTAAAAAAACCGCAACGCAAAATGATACGATCAGGTTAATTTCATGGTTCGCTTATGCTTCGATATCATTTGGTTTTTAAAAAAGCAAGTTTTAGGTTGCTTTCGAATTTTTTCACGTGCAGTCATTATTTTTCGATCAATGTTTTGGTTATTTCATCTTATCGGATTCATTATATTTCGGTTTCTTCAAAACGATGCGGTACCCAGACTTTGCTGATGTTAAGAAAGAATGCAATTTAAAGCATGGCAAGATTGTTTGTTGCAGAGAGTAGTACTAACATTGTCAGATTAACAGCAAAAAAAACTGTTTTTCATCCTTTGAAACTAGAATTTTTTTTCTTGATGTCATTAGGCATTAGACTGAATAGCACAAGGCGGGTGAATTAGTTTCTAAGACGATTGGCGTGGCTTTATTATGACTTCATCTTACTTGAATGAAATTGTTTCCCTTCATAGGTAGGTCCTGCAAAACATCTTGCATCTATATATTCTTTTTAAACATTTTTTAACATTTTGGTAGTCTGAGTTTTTTTGGACTCAAAGAAATGTGATTTTTTTTGCAATCTACAAAAACAAATTCTGAGTTTAATTTTAGAGCTTAATCTGATAGTGTTTTTTTTGTAACTTGCGCTTTTATTTTAAGTCTTCTTCAATGCCATGACTTTTGATTCCTTTCATGACAGTTGAATCCACTCATTTAATTCCTTAGATGACAGCCTTTAATTTCTTATAAAGAGCTAGGTAAGTTATTTGACGATGCCTGTTACAACTTTTTTCCTCGAAAAAAGGCGTTGCACTTGTGAGTTTAAGCGAGAAGGCACAGAAAAACGCTTCGGTGATGATAGTTTCGGGATTAACTTTTCATGATGTAACTTGCAATTGGCACAGCGCGCAAGAACCTTAAAACGGTTTTTTTTTTATTCCAAAATTTAAAAAAAAACAGGCTCAGGTGATTTAAAATGAACTGCATATGACCTTGTTTCCTCTTTTATTTTGAAACAAACGAATAAAACCGTTTTCAAGGTGTAATTTTGGTCAAATTGCTTCAACTGCTGATAAAATTCCGAGCAAATATTTGTAAAAACCATGTTTTGTCCAAACTAAACTAAAATGGAGAGAAAATAAGAGTTCATTTTATCTGTAGCTTTGCTTTAGTTTTTTTATACGGTTATTGTTCCGATAATCGAAAAATGTGGCATAACACATCAATTATGGCAAATGAGCTCCCTTCAACCAATTTGGAACGATTTCTAAGACGGATTAAATCTCCGCTTACGCGTTAATAGCGCGAAGTATATCGCTCGTTAATTGTCCCAAATTGGCCAAAATGGCAATCTTTAAACCCCCATAACTTTACGAAAATTGATCACAGGTGAAATATCTTTTCAAACTTAAGCTCAGGACAACAATATCTTTCGAATGATATAAGAAAATTACGTCAAAAATGGCTAGTTAAAAAGTCGAAATTTGTCTGAAGAAGAAACATACCCCGAGCACAAATATTCCGTTACTTTCGTATCGAAAGTCGGAACAATAATCTGGTTTTTTTTTCATTTTTTTGAAATTTTCATACGTTTTTTTTTTGAGGAACACTTCTCCATATACTTTAAAATGCAGTCAGATTATTCTGTCTTCGCCCTGATGCCACAGTTTCGTTTCGAATCCGCACAATAGAAGCTTGTTCAGCACAAAATGCTGTGAAACTTCGTTTAACCGCATAAACATGAGTGAACAAAAACAATCTGACCAAATGAAAAAACCACCAGAATTCGGCAAAATTTGGCTGCTCATTGCAATAAAAAGAATGAAGGTAAAACAGTCTTAGTATTATCTTTGTTTTAATTTGCAGACGAATCAATTAAAAACTTAACTGCAAACTTCATACCTACAGTGCTAATTCAAGTTTTTCAGTCAATAGTAAGTTCGAAAATTTTTCAAATCATCTTAAACGATCACAAACATTTTTTGCTGAACGAAACAAAAAATTGGCGTATATTCACATATTTTTAGCGACTAAAAAGTGTTCGTTGCAACTGTTTCATATCACCAGCATCTTGTCGTTCCTCACAAACACCTGGAGGAACATGGTGTCATCTCTGACATAGGTGAACTGGGTGGGGCTGAGAAACTGAAGGGGCACGAATTTGTTCAAGCCGAAGTAGTTGTTGTACGCCTTACGCGGCTGACTCAGAGACTTGCCCAGGGCGGGGTTGGTGGCGTCGGGTGTGAAGGAGAACACCCGGTCCTCCCTCTGGCTGACGTCTGGGTTCTGGTCCAGAAGGGTGACTGTGATCTCGGCGGAGAAGGGCCACGGCAGGAGGTTGTCCCACTTACCTCTGCATACGAACAAATAGACAGGGAGGTACCTTCCAAACACTGAAACACATTTCAACAACCCAAATTGGCTCACGTTCTGAATTACATCTACTTTTTTCTTTTTCTTTTGAAAATCAAGGCCGTTTTTTTTTGCATCTAGAAGTTCTGCACTATTGCAATCGAAATCGGTCACGCTGTAGCGTTGCGCTAGAAGTCAAGTTAGAACACCTCAACTTATCGGATTGGGGAAAAAATATACATAAAACCATTCATACATTTTTTGTTCAAAACAGTTTTATTAGTTCATTCTTTTTTCAAGTTTATCAAAAAATCTTCTTTTTCCAATATCAATTTCTTACGTGAAATTTTAGCTAGTCCGACCAAAGCATTTACTTCTTAATTTGGCGGAAGTATTGAAACTGGAGTTTTTTTGGCATCTAGCTGTAATGGCACGTGAAAAAAAATTGGAGCTGATTCTCTTTTAAGTATCAGTTTTGAAATAAGTTGACATTTATAATCATGATAATCATTACTTACACTGCTTTCCCCGTCCTCCATAAGGACAAGTGGCAACCTGCATTTTGTATCCATGCGGTGCAGTGTAGAAATGCTGACTGTAGATGGTGAGTGTCTGTTCATTCCTGGCAGCCTTGATCTTATTCTTCACATCTGTGATTCGCCACAACAGCTGCGACATGGGAAGAGACGCCGACATCTCTATTATGCGTTGCACTACCATACCCGAAGCATTTGTCTCGATCGGCTCTTGTCCATTAATGTTATGTGCTTCACTCGACTGAAGTAACTGTTCGGCCGCTACTTCAGCCAGAGTAGGCTGAGGCTGTTCCCCATTTTCACTCTCATTTCCCCCAGTCTCTAGCTCCTCCTTAATGCTGTCTGCTTTGTTCGTTTTCTGCTTAGATTTGTTTGTCAAGTATTTCATCTTTTTCGGCTTCTTTCGGGTGCACAGCGAACACGGACAGTTTCGAAACGTGGCAAAAGTGAATCTTTTAGGAATATACTCTTCTTGTTTTTTCTTCTGTCTCAGCCGTTTTATCTTGTCTTCGTCGTGTTTGTTTTCATTAGCCACCAAATCAATTGTATCTGCGGGACTCCCGCGGCCAGACTGGGACTCGCTGTCTTTTTCCGCTTCAGCATTTTTGAGCAGTTCTTCAATTGCGTCTTCGCATAACGCCTTTAACAAATTCTCAGTCGACTTGGTCAAGTCTTTATTGTCTATCACTTCTTTAGCCCGAAGAATGGCAGACTTCGTTCTGATTGGTCGGCCGAACTCATCAACCTTCGGTTTCTCCTGCTCCTTTTTCCCTGTTTCCTCTTCATCTTTCGTTGAATCTGTTTCTTTTTCATCGTCCACGTTGGTTTTCTCTGTTTCATTTTGTTTTTCGTCGCCATTCTTTTCTCCGTCAAGTCTTATTTTACTCACATCTTGTACATAACGGGTGTCTACATATCTACTAGACTGTGGGACTCCTTTGGATAAACCTTTTTTATTCAGCCTCTTTTTGTCACGTTTAATTTCTCTCTGTTTTGATACTTCGCTTTCATTTGAACCATTTAACTGGCTTCCTTCATCTTCATTTTCATCCGACTCTGGTGGTGGTTGGTAGTTGTGGAATCCACCATAAACCTGCCTCGCCATGTCTGGAATGCCACGTGATTGCTTCCTCTCGGATTCCCCAGTTGGTTTTTGTCCAATCACAATCGATTGATCCCGAGTAAGAGCTACAGCCGAGCCATTTGTTTTCTCTCGAACAGTTTCGATCAAATCATCGATAGACTGGCCGTTTAGTGTCTCAGTTTTCGCAGTCTGTTGTCTCGTATCGCCGTTTGTTGAGGCAAGATTGGGGTTGTCGTTTGGATCCCCTTCCAGGTCCGAATTATCCTCGCCTTTCTTTTCGTCCTCTCTAAGTGCTTCGTCAGCCCCTTCATTTATGTCTTTGTTGTTCCCGCCCTCAATTTCACCTTCATTTAATAGTTTACTTTTTTTCACTTCTTTAAAATCCAGTTCTTTGATTTTCCCGGTACTTTTGTCTTTTTTGCTTTTAACATTTTTTCCGTTCATAGTGGATTTTTTAACAGCGAGTACCGGTTTCTTTCCATTCGCTTGAATTCTATTAGCGACTTTGCGATTTGTTTTTGGGTCTTTTAAGGGTTCGTAGGATTTTGACGATAACAATTCGTCTTCAATATTCTCAACGCTCAAGTCATCTGTTTTCTTAGTTTTTTCAGTTTTAGATTTCGATTCGTCAATTGATGAATTATTGTTTTGGCGATTTTCAAAACTCGTGTCTTCGATTTGCTCCTTTTTGGTAGTTCCTTGAGTTTCAGAAACTTGGGTACCGGTCTTCTCGGTGTGAATCAGTACCATTCGCTCTTTTTCTTCTTGCTTTTTAGTGAAAATTTTTGCACCTGGATCTGAACCAATGTTTTTGCGGGGTTTTGCCGTTTTGATTTGTTGGCTGTCTTCCTGAAGAGATTTTTCGGTCATACTTTCTGTTTTGGGCTCGATATCAGCCAAAGAACTGAGTCCAATTGTATCTCGATCTAGCTTTTTTTCTATTTTCTCCAGATCGTGGTTTATCATCTGCTGCTGACTCAATTTACTTTTGTTTCTATTTAGTTTTGCGGACCGGGGTTTTTCGATTCCAGTTTTTCCTGGTTTAATTTTTAAGGAAGCAACCTGATTTAATTTCTGTTTCTCTGTTATCTTGTTATTGTCAGCAGGGGGAGCTTTGCTTTTGTCACTAATAACACTTTCTTCCAAGCTGAGCGGTTTCTCGTCTTCAATGGTGTCTACCTCTTCTGGCTTCGATTGATTGCCTGACATTTCCATTTCTCTTATCTCTTTTTTTGGTTCCTCTACTGGTTCGAAAAAAGCGGCTTCCCAGTTATCGCCAAGCACAAACTTTTGATCTCTGCCGCTATCCAGGTTTTCACATTCGCATTGTTTACCTGTCGCTTTTGACTGGTCCGGGTTAGTTATTATTTCTGATGGAACTTTTCCTTCAATACCCGGAGCATTTACAGTTTTCAATTGTTTCTTTTGCTTGCCATCGAGTTTTCTACTATCATAAAACTTGCTATTGTTTGAATGACCCTTAGATGTTTTTTGAGCATTAAATTGATGGGGCTTAATGTTCTGCTGCTTCTTTAAGTTCGAATTTTTAGCTTCATTGGCTTTACCTCCATTTGCGAGATTGTTCATCCGCTGGTATGGATGCTGTTTCCTTGCAAATTTGGAGTAGTCGTAATTTCCATTAATATCCTTAACGTACACCGTTTTTGGATCGAATTTGTTTTCCTTCACGTGAGATGCCTGCTTTTCTGTTTTCTGTTTATTTTTCTTCACGTCTGCCGAAGAAGTCTGACTTTTGTTCAGGTCTTCACAGATATCGCTTGGCTTTTCTTCTTTCGTCATTTTTTCTTTTTCTACACCCGACTGCAAACTTCGGCTGTCGGTTGTCGGATCAGGCTGCTGGGTTGTTCCGTCGAGTTCCTTTCGATCTTCGTTCGGACCAATTTTGCTCTCATCTGCTGTCGGTGTTTTATCGTCGTCGCTATTCTGTCTCTCCTTCGGATCCTCCACAGATTCAAGAAAATCAGTGTTGCCAAAACGGTCGCTTGTAGATACTTCAGACATCTTTTAAAAATATTCCTCAATAAACTCACCATCTGAATTTCAAAACAGCCAGCATGAAGTTTAAAGCAAAGCGCTATAAATTTAAAATTAAAGGCGACAGCTTTCCTTCAACAGCAAATTTTTCCTAATCACAGCATTTCAAGTCTATTAGTTCAATAATGGAATCGAACAGTTCATGAGCTTGCGGTTGCTTCTTTATTTAGCCCATGAATTATAGATCAAAAGCAAATTCGATATCAGCGGCTTGTATCAACCGCTAAAATGTTCAAATGGGAAGCAAATGGGAGCAGGTGTTCTCAAAAATAGTTTAAGGAAACACTTTATGCTGAAAATATAGATGTTTATTAAGCAAGGAATTCAATACAGCAACGAAAAACTTACCGAGCAGGAGTTAAAGTTTCCTCATAGTGTATGGATACGCAATAAAATATTCAGATTTTTATCCTATCTATTATCCATCAAAGCAATTTAAAAAGATTCGAAAAATGCGTGAAACGAATAAAATATTTCACTCCTTGAGATTGTTCGGGAGAAAGTTACGAGAAAACCGACAGAGTCAAATATGCCGAGAAGTTTTCAGCTATTTTAGGTCTCTTAACTGCATGCTAGCTCCAACAAACATTTCAAGTCGAATCTAAATACCCTATAGATAGACATAACCAGAGGCGGATCTAGGATTCTCTCGCATGAAGGGCGGATTTTCAAAAAATTATGTAGAACTTTTTTAGGTCGACCTAATTATTTTTCAAATCACAATAAAGACCCTGCTTTGACAAACATTTTGCGCCACAGGCAAATTTTTGGAAAAAAAAACAGACTAAAAAGGCGTTTCTAGGCACCACAAAATTATTATATTAGCCCCCCCTCGAAATTAGTATATTTGCGCCAAAAGCGCCTTTGAAAAAATTAGGGTTGGTAAACTAAAAACGGGTGTCTGAAAATAGTACAAAGGAGCATTTGGGTGGGCAACCCTTGAGGTAACCCCGTAAATAAATCAAGTTGAACAGTCCTCAATTGATATCAATAAAATCCTAATGAATCCGTCCTGGACGGGGGAGAACACCTTGTTGACATTTAAAACTTATCAGCTGAACAAATGTTCGAAAATCAAAGTAGTTTTTTAAAAAGAATCTTGTAAAAAGAGAGAGTGACAGAATTTTTATGCTTGAGATGGTTTTTTATAAGACCAATTTTAAATTATTAAGTTGCAGTTTTTGATATTTTTTATATCATCAGGAAGATAAAAAATTGTTTTGAGCTCAAAAAAAAATTTCGTGACACTTTTTCATGTGTTTTTTTTCTACACGAATTTTTTTGCCCATTTTTGCAATTTCAGGATAATTTATGCGCCACTTACCAGTTTTCTTTTATCGTGTAGCCAGCATGGCAAACTATTCGTGTAGCCAGCATGGAAAGGCGCTTCACAAAGTAAAAAAATCTATATTTTTTATATATTTTTTTTGAAATTAGTGAGTTTTCAAAAAACTACACCAGATAGATACCTTAAATTGCAGTAAATTATAGGGTTCTGGTATGCACGGTTGCGCGTAATGCTCGTCAATCTTTAATTGTTTCTATTTTGAGAAAAAAAAGACGAACTAAATGTGTTTTTTAATTTAGCGTTTTTGACGGAAGTTATGGGCTTTAACTAAAAATATGTTTCACCTGTGATCCTTTTTTGTGAACGTGTTTCAAATCACAATAAAGAACGATTGAGTTTTGCTAATTTGGCCAGTTTGTGATAATTGCGAGGAGCAAAGTCTTCAACTTTCATCAGTGTGTAGCGAATGTCACGTTTTTCGGGTTACCGCAAGTAAAGAACTATCTTGACTCCATCGGCTGCATTCTGAGTCTTTGTCGGTTGTCGCTAGAAATTTACCTACTAAGGCTGACTTCCTGCCTAAACCTCACGTTTGGTTACATTGGACAAAATATAAAATGATGCGAAGGAAATTCTAACTCAGTGCCTAAAATGAGATGCTTATCATCCAATTGTTCTAGTTAAATGTTTTGGTTATAAAATTTTTATCTTTGTTACAATAAAATTATTTTTTCTGCATTTAGGCGAAGTGACACGCAGCTGGATCAACCGAGTTTTTGCCCTGTTACGAGCAGTCTTATTACATATTGTTCCGATTATTGAAGAAAATAACGAAATTGCGCCTGCGCCACATTCATACTGCTCAGAAACCGTTTTTGCTTACATTTTGGTCCGGGTGGAAGATTAACCAAAAAAGATTTTTTGAAAGTGCAATGAAAGTGTTTCTTTGAAAAGATCTTAAACACTTTATAGAGAAATCAGATTTTTCAGGATTGTACTCGGAAATGAATTATTTGCTGTTCCCACCATTGGAAATGGGGAAGAACTTTGTATTTGGGTGTTTTAGTATTTTTCTTTTTTTTTCACGCAAAATAGGACCAGATAAAAATCGGACTGGGCTAAGTGATATATCATACTAAAGATCTTAGATTTGAACCAAATTAAAAAATTTCCAAAATTTTTTTCTAGGGTTGAGAAAAACTTGTTTGAAACTTTGATTTTTTTTTGTCCCATTTCGAGCGACTTAAGCTACCAAGGACGCTTAATGCTTAATTTAGGTCGTTTACAATAGCTTATTTATGCTTTAATAGTAAGGTAGTTCTTGGAGATTTTTCAAGCCATTTTGGGAACCAAAAATTTCAAAAAATCAAAAAAAAATCTCCTAAAAAATGTTTAAAAAAATTGAATTATTTTGTGATTTTTTAAATAATTGTTTGTTGTTTTTTAGTCTTTTCTCTTCATTTTTCTGTGTTATGTTTGTCTATACTACTATGTTTCTCGATTATGACTAAGTTTTTCTGTTACGTCAGATCTTTTTATCACACCACGCAGAATAAACTTTTTTTCTGGTAGGTTTTCAAAAACTATAGTTAAAACATTCTGTGCTACTTGCACAGAACCTGGCTAGCCTTGTTTTTTGATTTTGTTTTGGTAGAAACAATAAAATAAGTGACTTATTTCTTCCATGAAGACATAAACAATGAAATAGATAGACGCTTTTAGTTCTGAGAGAATGTACAAATAATTTGAAGTGAAATATTGTGTGATTTATTTAACATAAAGGTCAACTGATGACTATACAAAATACTATGCTGGACAGTTGCTCCATTTGAGCTCATTGTCTCTTCTTTTTTCTTCTTGAATATTCTCTTTTATTTCTCATGCATCAACTGAGAAATCCCATCCCCTCCTCTTGTGGCCACATGGCTGACACAGGATCTCAGTATCCTTCCCAGTTCCCTCTGCTAAGAAGTTGATGCCCTCCAGTTTTTCCCCACACGACTTGCAATAGAAGCATTCCCTGTGCCAGTAAAATCCCTCGAAAGCCAGATACTTGCCACCGCTGATTCCTAGAAGATTACAGCAGAATGGTTCCAAGAACTCACAATATAGCACAAAAAAATTGCACCATAATTGCAAACATCCTTTAATAAAAAAACCTCATTTTTTAGCCCTCAGTCGGTTGAAAAGTTTGCGGATCTAGGATTTTTTCAAAAAAGGCGGACTTTTAGTATTTTTATTCTTAGATGTAACTTTTTGTAACTTTTTTCAGCTCTCGCAAAACGCAAAAATAACCCTATTTTGACAAAAAAAGTTCGCCGCACGCAGTTGTTTAAAAAAATTAAGCAAAAACAACGTCGTTTTCAAGTATTTTTTTGGAAGATTCCGATCAAAAAATTGCGTTTTTTCGGTGCCAAAAAATTGCGACTCTGGAAAAAAAATGCGTTTTTTCGGCGCGCACTCCCCTCTCAGAATGAGTATTAATTGAAGCCTCCCGAAGTGGCTTCTAGAAAAGTTTAAAAACCGGTCAGCCGAAAACGGGTTTTGTAAAATAGCTCCAAAGGAGACAATTGGGGGGACACATTGGTTGGTAGGGGTGTCGAATCACTGATAGGGTAGGGCGTCCGCCCCAACCCTTACAAATGCTGCGGACTGCAGCTAGCTGTAGGTTTATAATTTGTATGATACAAAAACACAGTGCAGAAAATTTGAAAAGGAACGAGACAATGTATGAAATTTTTGTGAAGTCGAGAGCACAAGTGGGTTTTGTGAGTGTTGGCATTAAGTGGCACCTGTGATGGGGGTGTCACACTCGTAGCAGTTTTTGGCGTGTTTGCTGGTGAAGCACTCCGCGCACAGGGGGAGGGATGTGTCCTCACTGAGGGTGAACCTCTGTCCAGCCAACTCCTTCCCACACTCACTGCAGCCCAGACACTGCCTGTGGTAAGGCTGCTTCTTATACGTCACTCCCCCACTAGTGATCGCCTACATATTTAGAAAAATACTATGAAACGCTCAAATCTTTCAGAACTCTCATGAGATTTTTAAGCAGTGTCTAAGTTATGATTTTGGTTGAACTATATTACAATATCGAACTTAAAGAAAGTTCTAATGAAGTTGGATTTTAAGGAAACAGCATAGGAACATGGTTTTCTTCAGTGTTCTGTTACCTTGCCGCACTTGGTGTTGGTACACTTGATGGCGAAGTTTTCGGTCCAGCAGTCTATGCAGTAGGGCGTGTCCTTGTGGGGGTGGAAGGGACTGCGTCCGATCGCCTTCCCACACCCCCCGCACTGGAAACAATCGGGGTGCCACTGGCCTCCATTCCACTTCAACTTCTGCTGACCTAGAAAAATTATTATTTCAAGCAAATGTCAGTTTGCTTAATCATATGAAGCATATACCAATTTAGAATTCAAGAGGTAGTTTTTATTAGTCAGGACAATAATTCTACAATTGAAGACCAGCTGGCAAATGCTCAACATTAAACCGCGCTTGAGCATTTTTTGATTCAGAACTAATGACCCGTTTTGGGATCAATTTTGGATAGTAAACTTTGAACTAAAGGTGTAAGATGAGGTTGAAATGAACCAACTTGGCTTGAATGGCTTCTCGCATCTGGTGCACTTGTCCGCATAATTGACGTCGTGGCAGTCCTCACAGAAGAGCTGTTTGTCCTTGAAGGAGAACCCTTCCACGTCCAACGGCTTCTTACACTCTTTACACGTGAAACACTTCTCATGCCAGTGCTGCTTCTCAAAACTCACATCCTAAAACCACACTTTTTCAGTTATATAGCGAATTGCAAAAAGTTCGGACAGACAGAATTAATTAAAAGAGCAACTGTCTGGACTGAAATAAAACTGAAATAAACATAACGTCGAAAGTTCACAAAGCAGAGTTTCGCTCAAAACCTATAACCACGGCGGGCAATTGCATCCGAAGCGTTGAATAGTAAACCTTGAAACAGGAAAATTATTGCTCAGGGTGGCTAATATTTTTCTGTGATTAGTTTCCAAATTTTGAATTATATGATCATCACCTCCGTTTGTTTTTTTTTGGGCCGCCTAATCTGTTTTTTTTTTGTTGAAAATAACTCCTTGATATTCTTCTTTGTTAAAACATCATAAACGGTAGATTTCGATTTTTCAACTAATTTTGCTAACTGTTTTATAGTAAAATCTGGATTTTCAATGCAGTATTTAAAAATTAGGCTAGCATAATCATCAGATAATCGACGACTTCGCATTTTGAATTTGGTCTGACAAAAAATTCAAGGTTGTTCAGCTTCAGATTTTGCATGCAAAAAACATCGAAAAGCATTGATTGCTCATTTTAATTAATTTTGTCTGTCCGAACTTTTTGCTACGAATTATACACATGAATATTATCAAAAGCAAGCATGCTGAAGAAAAGCCAGAATATATGAACTTACCACAAATACATTCAAATTCTGGCAAAAAAAACAAAAGCTGTTATTCAATTTAGCCTGTTGAAAAATGACAGCCTTCAGTTATTTTTAAAACCTGGTTAAGGATGACGATGACTCGGCCAACAAGAACAAGAACCTACTTAACTATCTCCACCCCTTTCAAGAAAGGGGGGGGGGGAATGTTATGTAAATCAAAATGGTCGATTTTTCGACCAATCAGAATGCAGCAGAATTATAATTCTCAATAGAAAGATCAGGACTAATTGACAGTATTTATTTATCGGGGTAGAGATTCTCAAGTAGGTACCGTTGGGGGGAGAATGTTAATTAGATCCGAAAATTGTTTTGACTTTTTGATATCTGATAACGGAATTGATCTGTTCCCAAAACGAGATATCATGGCTATAATGATTAAGTTACCTTAGTATCGGCCTCGATGAGTTTGTTGCACTTGAAACAGTCATTTCCGAACTTGTCGTGGAAGCAGGGCACACAGTAGGGGTGTCCCTCTTTGTTCACGAATCTATGACCATATAGGGACTTGTCACATGACCAGCAGATGTACTCTTGTCCATGCTGACTGTCCTTGCTCAGGTTCTTGTTCTTGTTGGCCGAGTCATCGTCATCCTTAACCAGGTTTTAAAAATAACTGAAGGCTGTCATTTTTTTGAATAGAGCCATGTATTTATTTGAATGGAAACTGTTACACTGCTTCTTTTTGTTTGTAAATAATTCAAAAATCATGATTAGTTTTAGTCCCAAGAGAGTCGATGGTAGTAAATAAACCTACTTACGGGAAAATCAAAAACATTTGGATATAGTCGTATTGATTGAAGATTAGCATGGTTCTTTTGATATACTTTTCTTTTTGTTCAGTTTATTTCTACTCAAAATTTACTTGCCAACTGTTTTAACTAAGGTCAGTTAACTCAGAAACACTCGACCCATTCACCATACTAAGTTTTTTCTACTGCATTACGCTTTGTTGCGCAATCTTCCATCAAAATAAAACCAAAATTGGCAAGCCATTTCCGACTCAGCTCTCACATTTATTAAAAATTGCCTAACTTGGAATGTATGCTTATAAGTTTTGGCTTGAAAATAAAATAATTATTATATTCGAAATCGTTTTAAGCTAGGTTGAGCTGCTAGTATAATGCTGATTTATAATTCAAGTTGATTGAGTTGAAGCGTTGCTGACCTTGAACATTGACTCCATGTCCTGGAAACTCATGAGCTGGATGTCGCCCCTCTCCTGCTTGCTCAGGATCTCCTCCACGTCCGCTCCCCCCGAGAGATCTCTGCCGATGGTCCTGAGAAACTTGGAGGCCCCATTGGCCATGTAGCTGATCTTGCGCAGTCGGTCAAACTGCTCCTCCCGCAGTCTGTCCCGCTCCTCCTGCAATCAATCAAAACAAGTAATGCTCTGTCACCTACATGTGTAGCCGATTGCAAGAACAAACTAAGTCACCAATGGAAAAGGCGACGAAATGCCTTTTCAAATCGGTTAATGTCTGGAACTTTTAGCACCAACTTTCCACTAAAATTTATCATAGTTGAATTATTACAAAAAATTCGAACACTTGAATTCGGAAGGTCATATCCCCAAAAAAATTCCATACAACAAACAAAAAAATTAAAAGAAAAGCTCATTTTCTTCCCCCATCAACGAAGCTTAATTTTTCGTCACTATGACCGATTTTCATAAAAAATGCTTGCTGGTTACTTAGGCTGTTTTAAACGGATTTGGTCCTAAAAAACCTGCAAATCCCTTGCTACGCCACAAAATAATGAAATTAACTCAAAAAATTGGGCTACTGTCCCTAGTTAATTAGAAGAGAAAACTGTTAGGAAGGTAGTTGAGGAAAATAGACTATTTTGTAAGATCTTATGAGAATATTGCAAGAGAGGGCAGATTTCTGCCTAAATCTTCCGAGGTTCTTTTGCAGTCTTCCTCATTTCTCAACTACAAATAGTTTAGTTTTATCTGCTAATTATGCTTTAGTCGCTTTTTTCAATACGTAGTCTCGTAAGATAGCCAAAGCTTAGCTAACCTTAAAAAATTAACCTATGGTTAGGGCTGTGGCTCGATAACTTACAGAAAAAGCTTTGCTGTACGTATTTGCTTAGTTGTCCTTGATTGGATATGAAATATGATTTTTTGGGACACCTGAAGGTTTTTCAAAGCTTGAACTACTAAAAATATGATATTCAGCGGTCCCGATATGATTTTTGCAGTACCCATTTTTCATTAAAACAATCGGCAATGGCATTTTGTGATTTTTGAAAATGAACAATGCAAAAGATCTCAAACCGATTGATCAGTAGCGTGTTGGGGTGGGCGATGGACAGCAACAGTCCTTCGACTATAATATTTTTTTCCTCTTTTCATTAACTTTCCTGCATTATTTTTGACCAACCAGCTCCAAAGTTTTTTTAAAGCGCTGCTGAGGCAAAAAAAACACCTAAGGTCGAGCAGATGAATAATAACGCGACTTTTGGCCTGGATTTTTTTAAAGAACTACAGAAAGCACAGCATTTTTTTGTGAAAAAGATTTATTTTAAGGTTTGTAAGAGCTGAAAATGTGAAACAGCTTGACCTAAAATTTGACTTCTTTCTGAAGAAAACTCCTTCCCTGGCCGCGCCGGATCAAAAAGTAAGGCACGCATTCCTCATACCTCATACTGATTTTGAGTAAATATTGTGCTCCAGGGGCGGATCTAGGATTTTCTCGAGGGGGGGGGGGGGGGGGCGGATTTTCAAAAAAATTCAAAAATTTTGTCGACATTTTTTTAGGTCGACCAAATTGATTTTCCGAGCTCTCCCAAAGCATTACAAAGACCCTGTTTTGGCCAAAATTTCTGCGCCGCAGGCAAAATTTTGAAAAAAAAAACAGGCCGAAAAACAGGCGTTTTTTTGGCGCGCGCTCCCCCCTCAAAATTAATATATATTGGTGGCGCCGAATGCGTCTTTAGATAGTTTTTTTGGTCCGTCACCAAAAAATAGATATCCCAAAAGAGTACAAAGGGGGGACGATTTGGGTCGGCAGGGGGTCGGATCCCTGAAGGAAAGCGGCCGCCCCCCCCCCCCCCCGCCCCCTCCCCTAAATCCGCCCCTGTTGTGCTCCATCAAGATAAAAATAAGGATTTGACTTGCCTGTTGCTGTTCGGTCAGGACCATAATAAAATTTTTATATTTTTTTCAACAACCGTTCACTTCGTCAAATGTAAAATTTTTCAAACGAACTCAAAATCAGTTAAGCACTACTGCTAGTCTACTAGTTTTATCTGGTACTTAAATATGCAAATTTAGGCAAACAGTCCAATTCAACCACATTTTAACGCTTTCTGCTTCGGTAAGTTTAGCAGTATAAATCGCCAGATCTAATAACTAAGCCGAAGCTAATTAACTAACTGCTCTTGGGCGCATTGGTTACACAAAAATAAACTTTTACCTGCTCTTGTATTGTTCGGTTAACCATTTAAGCTAGAAGACAGAGTTGGCTTAACAAGATTCAAAACTGATGATAAAATTGAGTTTTAATTATCTTCAGAACACGAATAATAACCACAGTATGTAATAAAATGCAACTCTGTAGTCGCATATGCGGCCGGCTTCTTTTAAAAAGTCTATCAAGCTAGCAAAGACTGAGATTGTTTAGACCAGTTCTTTTTTCGTATACGCATACACTGCTATTCTTCATTCACCAATATTTTCAAACAATGTGTATTTCTTTTGAAGCACCGACAGAAACAGATGATCACCTCAGCTTGCCTTGCAGAACAACGAACGCTTCAAAAAACAAACTCACCGCTTAAAAAAAGCTTTAAATCACCAGATAATACATTTTTTTATGGTTCAACTTTGATCCTAGTACGTAGAACATCGTAAAGTGGAGTGGATTATCATCTTCCTTAATCGTTTTCAATCTTTCCGAAAAGTTAGGTTTTGCAGAAAAAATTGCATGCCAACTTTTTCGTTTATTTTTCAGTTACTTGAAATCATGTTGTCACAATACAAGGAAGGATGTAACTTCTAAAATGAAAAAGACTGCTCGTATCAGGGCGAAGCCTTGAATGTTCCTACTGCCTTTTAAGGTCAATGGAGCAGTAATAACATGAAAAATTTAAAAGTAGAAAAAAAGTAAAATTTGAGATTTTTTGGGAAAATCATCTTCATACACCATACACGCCATTTAACACAGAGTGATAAATTTTGCTCCTAATATCAAATCAAATATGGCAAATGAGCTTCCTTCAACCAATTTCTAAGATGGATTAAATCTCCGCTCACGCGTTAGTAGCGCGAAATATATCGCACGTTTATTGTCCCAAATTGGCCGAAATGGCAATCTTTAAACCCTGATAACTTCACTAAAAAGGACCACAGGTAAAAAATCTTTTCTAATTTAAGCTATAGCCAACATTACCTTTCGAATGATATAAAAACAATTTTGTCAAAACTGGCTAGTTAAAAGTAGAAATTTGTCTGAAGAAAAAAAAACCCACCACGAGTTCAAATATTCCGCTACTTTCATTACGAAAGTCGGAACAATAAAGATAACCTAAAGAAAAGTTTGAATTATAAATTCATTCAAGGGAAGAAAAATGATTGACCGGATGACTTCCGCATTCAATTTGCGTTGCTCTTGTGTAAGTTTAATTGCAGTTTTAAAACTTCGATTGCAATTTTAACGACATTTCACTGTCTCAAGGTAAGAATTTTTGCAAAAATACAAGACTTTGTCTAATAAATTTGTTAAGAGCTATGAAATTAAGATAGAAAGAAGGAGTCATTCATCTCTGAAAATAATCAAATCAGTTTCAAGGACATGATTAACTCAGCGCAAACAGGAACATCAATTCTTGCAAGAACACTCATGGTTGAAACAAATGCTTTGCATGCAATTCCACGCTACAAAAAATCATCATCATAGAATTCAGAAAATTGTGGAGAAAAATTGTATTATTGTAGCATGATAAGCATTCCTATATTAGTGAAATTAATGACGAGCAGTTTTCCATACTTGTAGCGTTTTCCATGGAAAAAATATTTTAAATTTTGTGACTTTTCACTTTGTTTTTTTTTTCGCTTTGTCCTCATACATAACAATCAAGGCTTATCTCATTTAAGAAAACCCACAAGTTGATCTATTAAATTTGATCCACACTTTAAAAAAACGTTTGACTTTTTCTATTTAGCTAGAAAGCTTCTACTTTGAAAAATTCAGTTTTGGCTATTTTTTGACAGATTTACCTTAATCTACACAGAAAAAAAAAACAAGCATAGAAATAATTGCGGTTTCACTAATTCTTTTCCACAAACAAACTGTTTTTGATGATCGGAAAAAATTATTCCTGTAAAATAGACAAAAATGTGGGTTCAAAAGTCTGCAAAACAGTTTTTGAAATTTGGGTATAGCTTGTATGACAAGCAATTTTCAAAAAGCTCTCTGTTTGGATCTTATCAACCAGGGTGACTGGTTGATATCAAACTCAATCCGGGTGACTTGTATTGAGCCAATATTTTGAAGTTGTTACCTGCTATTCAACGGAGCAGTGCTTGCCTAAAACAAGTTGATGAATTTTTCAAAAAAAAACATGGAAAAAAAATTTTGAAATTTTTCGAGAATTTTTTATCATCCCTCGCGTGCCATATATAAAGCAAAATGAAAAAAAATGCGCTTAGTGAACTATTAATCAGGACAAGTAGCCTGCTTCAATCAATTTCTAAGAGGGATTTGATTGCCGCTTGGGCGTTGATAGCGCGAAATGTATGACTCGTTAATTGTTCCAATAGGCCAAATTAGCAATCTTTAAACCCCTATAACTTTACAAAAAAAATGATCTCAGGTGAAATACAATTTTATAGTTTAGCGTAAGACAACATTACGCTTGGGCTAGTAAATAAAAACTTCCGTCATAAATGGTTAGTTAAAAATTCGAATATTGTCTGGAGATTAAAAAAACCACCCCGATTCTAAATATTTTGTCACGTTCTTCAAAAGTCGGAACAATAATATTTTAAGTAAATTTAAATGAAAAAAAAACAAATTTTGATAATTTTTAGCGTCATTTAGCACGTGCAAAATCAATAAGGAGTCTTACAATTTTTAATCAAATTGATTGTCTTAGTTGACATTCATAACAAAAATTAAGAAAAAGTTTTCGTATAATTTACGTTTTTTTAATGTTTTGGATGACAATACGAGGGTGCAGACAACAAGACAATTATCGTTCTCACTCTGCCCTCAAAAGCGAAAAAAAGTTGAAAAACATTATTGCAGTTTTTTTTTAGAAATGGCGCCCCAAGCCCACCGAAAAGAAATTTCTAACATCAAGCTCCACAACAATTGATACTTCAATTCAGTTAAATGATTTTTAGTGAAGCCCTAACAACTGCAAAAACAAAAGACAATTTGGGTTTTAATAATTCAATTCACAGCTTTGCCCAACTGTGACCTGACAATATGTTAGAACAGAAAACTGTATGGCATGTGGAAGAAACATCAAAAAGTGATAGGGCTTTGGGAAAAAAGCTCAGAAAAGTATATCTTCCCATCAACATTTCTATTGATAATTAGATATAGTTACCTAGAAATGAGACTATGAGGGTACAGACAACAAGACGATTAGCATTTTCACTCTGCCTAGAGCATGAAAAAGTTGAAAAAAATTCAGGGAGTTTATTTTTAGAAATAGCGCCATAAGCCAATCGAAACGATATTTCAAACAATAAGTCTCAGAACAATTGATAACTCAATTCAGTTAAATGACATGTGGCTCAATTTTTTAAAGAAACATGTGGCTCAATTATTCCGCAAGCAAGACTTCAGTCTGTTAAATGGCACAACAAAAACTAGCGAGAGGTTGCTACCTGTCAGCAAATGACGTCATCTCCTCATAAGCTATTCTGATCAGTAGGAACAACTGCAATTTACTAGCTTTTTTTGAATATTGTTTTTGAATAAGTTGCCTATCAGATTTGAATTTTATTTGTTCGAGATTGAAATAGTCATTTTTCATTCTTCGGACTTTCAATTAGTTTATTGACAACAGAATTTAAATATACATAAAAAAGAGCAAGGATTGTTGTGCAAGTAGCACAGAATGTTGCAGCCATAACCCTGAAAAAAAATTTAAAATTTTTTTTCCATATTTCTTTTTAAAAAATTTGTGTTGTTCTTTGTGCGTCATGTGTTAGAAAGATCTGAAAAAAAAACTAAAAATTTTCTGAAATTCAAAAAAAATGTTTTTCAATTTTTTTGCTGAAAAATTCGATTTAACTTTATTGGAGCTAAGCTAAAGTTTCATGGGTCATCCTTTAAAAAACTTGATCGCTTGCTTTCTTGCTTGAAATTATATTAGATCTCAAAAAACTCAAGCCGGTTTTCCTCGACACTGGGACAACTTGTTGAAGTTTTAGTGTCGCATGAATCAGGGCTGAAAGGGCTTTAATGTGATATATTACTTAACCCATTACGATAATTATTTGTGTAAATTGCTTTTGTTTGGAAAACAAGATAAACCTGTTCGCTCGCATCACTCGCTTTAAACTAGGCCAAAATCGAAAATTTCATGCTGGTTTTTCTCAAAACTGGGAAAGTTTTTTGGTAGTTTTTTCAAGTCGTTAGATTTATAGCTGAAAAGATTTAAACGTGATATATAGCTTAACCCATGATTTTGGGTGGAAAACAAAAAATAAAAAAAATTAAAACACCAAAAAACAAAATTTTAGTAGTCTTCACAGTTTCAATGGTTGGAACAAAAATGCACTTAATCGCCAAAGAACTTAACTCAAAAATATTTGTTCATAAAAGTTAAAACACAAATGACAATTTGAACATGAATTTTCACCACCCAAAAACACCCAAAAAAAGGGAAATACGCCATAAAAGATAAGAAAAATCAAACTAATGATACATTTTTAATCGTTTTTATCAATTTTCAAATACCAATAAAAACACATTTACCTGGAAGTATTAAACTAATTGCTGCCTTACATTTTTACCTCATCTTTGATACGACAAATTTGATCTCTCGAAAAATTCTCTGTACGGAATTGCATTATGGTTTTCCTAGGACATTTTTGCGTTAAAATTCCATTCGGGCTGCTTATATCAAGGCAAGTTTATGAGAGATTTGCTTGCTTTCTTATTTTTTTCGCTAACACTGATAGCATTTAATTTAGAAAGGAACTATTTTTGACAATTTTTTGAATGTCGCTTCAGCATTCACGAGGTCAAGTAAGATACTCTAAGAGAATAATTCAAATGAATTGTCTCAGTAGACTTTCAAATAATCATCAAGAAAAATTTGATAGAATTTATGTTCAAAAAAAGTTTTCTGTTTTTATGAATAACGCTTCAGCATTCGCAAAATCAAATTCTACGAGTTCTAGTTCAACAAAAAGATATCAGATCAAAAACAGGAAAAAA